GGATGCCAACCCTGGGAGTTGAACTCTGAGCTCAAGGCTAATGTTCTACCACTTGAGCCACAGCTCCACTTTTGGATTTTTGATGTTTAATTGTGGAGTTAAGAGTCTCACGGACTTTCCTGCCATGGCTAGCTTTGAACCAGGACTCTAAGATCTCAGCCTGCTAAGTAGCTAGGATTACAAGTGTGAATCATCAGTGCCTGGCTAATGAAACTACTCTCATTCAACTAATGTATGCTAATAAAAAAATAAAGGCCCTCTAAAAAAACTGGTCCTAAACTATTATAGACTTTGTGAATTTTCCTTTTCCCATTTCATTTCATATAGTTTATACTTTCTCCGAACTTGGGAGAATTCTGCTTCCAGAATGAACTTTCTCACCTGCTGGATTGAATCAGGCAGGCTCATCCCCTTGTAATGTTTAGTACTTCTACTTATTAAGATCCTATTATTATTTTTTAGATTTGGTAAAGATGTCAAATCTTCCCTTATTCTATAAGCTGTATATTCTTACTCTCTGACACCCATTTTTAATATGCCTAGCTCATTCTTTGTGACTTGCCCTCTGCTCCTGCTCTCTTATATTATAGTTATCTGTGCACTGTCTTTATTGTTCTTACTAGATTTCAAGTCCTTGGGACAGTGATGATGACAGTGATAACTAAAATGTGCTCCCGCCATCATGTGCCTATACCATACCCTACCCTCTGTGCAAACCATGTAACTTCCTTACTTCAACAGCTCTGTGAGGAAATATAACCACTGTTAGATGTGATTAAGTAATATACCCAAGGCATCCTAGGAAATGGCAGAGCCAAAAAGAAAAAAATACTTTAGGTCTGCCTGATTTTAAAAGCCATGTTTTTATTTACTATGTGTTATTCCTCACCATTCATAGACTTGGCAGATAACCTTAAAATAAAACATGCCCATATATCATAATCTATGAAATAGTTTTGTTAGAATCTCAGTAGCTCTTTCTCCCAGTTCTTATTTTTGTTATTTTAAAAATAGGGGCTTGCTCTTTCTCCAGAACTGTTTTGGATTACAATCTTTCTATTTGTGCTCTTTGAGTAGCTGGGATGACAGGCACGTGCTAATATACCCAGCTTTTCATAGATTGAGATAGGGTCTCAACAACTTTTTGTCTGAGCTAGCCTTCAACTGTAATCCTCCTAATAGTCTGCCTCCCAAGTAGCTAAGATTACAGGCATAAACCACCTCAGCTGATTAGATTCTAACTGTTAGAGGATGAAAATATGAAAAAATTATGCTGTAATATTAAACAGATTATAAAATGTAAAGAGAGAAAAAAAGTCCTAATTCATCTGGATAAGGAATAGTCTAACTTTGTGTCTTTCCTTGGACTCTCAAGGTCAGGGGAGCAATGAATCAAGGCCACTCCCAAAGCCTTACCTGAATTGTTTAAACTACATTTAGAGAGTCTTCAAGTAATTCTAGTTTCTGAAGTTCTGACAGTGGCCCTGTGAAGACTTAACTGTACACTCTCAAAAAAAAAAAAAAAAGAGAGTGAGAATAACTGCAAAGTCAAACAGCCTCTGGTGAAGGGATAAATGCCAGTGGGAGTCAGAAGGGCTAATGAAGGTGATTAATGTAGAGTCCTAGTTCACATATAAGCAGATGAAATAATACATGGCATACATAAGTATCAACAGAAAGAAAGCTGTGGCTGTTGCTCTTTATATATAAGGGACTAAAGGCTGTAATTCTCTGAGAGATAATCATCACATAGTTTAATTCTCATCACAACAAATAATCTTACAACAGAGAATTCTGTATGACAAAAGTCCTCTCAAGGTTGGCTGACAGCCCATGCATTTCAGGCAATATTTTATGTGAGACTTGGGGTTCACAGGAATGGGAATTGACCTGTATTTCCAAAGGTGAGATTTGAATGATTTCATCTGTAACTCTGAGCCCATGGCACCCTGAGATGGAGCGATGCATGATCCAAACGCAAAGGCAGAGATGAAATCCACTGTGTTTTAAAAGGGCGAAAATTCCTTCCTTTCACTGAGGAACTCTTAGGTCAAGGAGAAACTTCTGACTCAAATCAAGAAATGGAGATCAGAGCTAGTTTCTGGTTTTATTGCAGAGAGGAAAAATGATGCAAATACATGAAGAAGGATGTGAAAATCTCTACCTGACATATCTGCTGGGTAAACTAGACTACAATTGTTAGGGTTTTTTTGAGCCTTAGTTTCTTCTTCTCTAAAATGTGACTAATATCAATCTACTTTCAAGAGGCTGGTAAAAGCCAGATGAAAATACACATAAAGTTTCTAATCCAGAGCCCCCAAAGTTCCTTCATGAAGCTTCCTTCCCTAAGATCTATAGCTTCTGCATATTTTTTTCCACGAAATTAGTTAGAAGATTTATTAAGTGGAAGTTCACAAAGGTATAGACTCACATACAGTCTGGATAAGGTATTGCTTAAAGGAACATTGAAGACAGAGTGGTAGAGTAAGTAGGTCACACTCAAGTATTTACTTAAGCAAGAGAAAGATCTTTGGGCTAAGGCAAGAATATGCAAAAGCTACAAAGTACTAATGAGCAGGTGTCATCAGTGAGCTCTGATTCTGTGAGAGCTCATTCTGAGAAATAATAGAACCAAAAATTCTGTCACATTTTTCTAGCTGAGGATGAACTATGGTCACTGATCTGGCCTATTTTTCTTTTGGGTGATATTCTAAGTGTGGGAGGGCCCTTATGTGGCAATTCCTTAGCTTGTGCTATGTATTACACAATTTCTCCTCAGAAGGATACTGTGCAAGTACTAGACTAGCCTCAATTTAGGAAACATTGGACAAATAGCTTCATAATATATTCAGTAATAGTTCTCAATATTGTTCTAATTCCTCCAGTTTTTTTATTCTATTGATGTTTGTATAACTAATTTCCTATTTTTCAAAGTATAGGTTGATTAAGTTTGAAGTGACAAAATTCTGTGGCCTCTTTTCAACAACCTTTGTGTCACCTTTTATGAACTAGAGTCTTATGAACATAACCTAAAGGAAAGTCTGTCTTTAAAAAAATGAGTACGGGGCTGGGAAGGTGGCTCAGTGGTAGAGCGCTTGCCTTGCATGCCTGAGGCCCTGGGTTCGATTCCTCAGCATCACATAAGAAAAAAGCCAGAAGTGGCGCTGTGGCTTAAGTGGTAGAGTGCTAGTCTTGAGCTGAAGAGCTAAGGGACAGTGCCCAGGCCCAGAGTTCAGGCCCCACGACCAGACCCAAAAAACAAAACAAAACAAAAAAATAAAAAAATGAGTATTGCAACTAGGTTTTTAAATTCTTTTTTTTTTGAAGGGGGGGGGAGGTTCCGGTCGTAGGTCCTGAACTCTGGGCCTGGGCACTGTCCTTCAGCTCTTCAGCTCAAGGCTAGCGCTCTACCACTTGAGCCACAACACCACTTCCGGCTTTTTTTCTTTTTGCTTATGTGGTGCTGAGGAATCGAACCCAGGGCCTCAGGCATGCAAGGCAAGCTCTCTACTACTGAGTCACCTTCCCAGCCCCAGTTTTTAAATTCTTTAAAAAAAAGTTATCCAAAACCTTGTCAGACCAAGAGATGGCCCAGCATTTTTCAGTCAGAAGATTTCTCCTTGACAGTAAAAGGCTCAAGAAAAGTTATGAGCCAATATTCATTTGCCTAACTAAACAGCACATACAAGCCAGATATGGGTGGCTTACACCTATATTCCTAGATATTCAGGAGGCCTCAGCCTCTGAGATTTGAGGTTCAAAGCCAGCCTGGACAGAAAAGTCTATAAGACTCCATTTCCAATTAACTAGCAAAATGCCAGACGGGAGGTATAGCTTAAGTGGTAGAATGCCAGCTGTGAGTAATAAAGCCAAACCAGAGCACAAAGCCTTGAGTTCAAGCCCTCATACCAGCGCCCGCGCGCACACACACACACACACACACACACACACACACACACACACACACACACACACTCATATAAGCAAAACAGTGAGCTTTCTTAATGAAATGCTATGTTAAAAAAATAGGCTGGGCATGTCTCAGATGTATATATACTATTAAAACACAGAGAAAAAGGAACTGGAGATTTCAGAGATGAACATCCATGTGAAGACCAAATGGTTAAAGCGGGAAGGTTAAAATAGCGATAGAATCCAAGTGGAAGCAACAGAAAAGATATTTTAAATTCAGTCTGCACATAGCTGACAAAGTAGGACTCGAATACACAGAGGCATCTCTGGTTCCTGTTCTCTGTTTTAATAACTGCTACCTCCATCCCCATCCCCATCATCTTAAAATGGAGGCAGGAATGAGCACTGGATTGTACACTTTAATCTTACCACCAATAAGGGCGTAAACCTCAAAGCATTTCTGAAGGTGTGCTAACTATCTCAAACCACTAGAGTGCTACTACTCCTGGCTCCGAAATGTACACTTCACTTAATGATCCCCGCTATCCCCCAGAATGGTCGTCTCTCCTAAAACTGAGCCCTTATTTTCTTGCACCAGTAGTATCACACTAACAGTTTATAAGACATGTTGAGGTCCCCACAGGCTGTGGGAAGTGAAATACAATTGTAATTATAAGAGAAGTCATGGGAAGGAAGCATAGAAAGAGTTACAGAGCTGAGAAACACTGTTCCTCAGAAGAGCTGCCACCCCACCCAGGAAGAATCAGGACTGCCTAGAAAGTGACCTCACAGGAGCAATCAGGTGCCTGCACAGAGGCTGGGCAGGTCCCTGCCCTCCCTCCTGTGTCCCACCTGTCCCAGTGGGCAGGCAGTTGCACAGGGAGGAGCTGAGAGAAGAGCAGCCGGAGCACAAGGGCTGCCAGCATCAGCTGCTTCCAGCCAGCACTCTCTCCTTCTCTGCCTCCCTCCCTCCTGCTGGCTGAGGCTCTGGGTAGCTCTGGGTAGTCCAATGATGCCCATAACAGCCTCAATGCCCACTGGGCACTTGGGCCAACCCCCACTGTATGCACACCCCATGCTGTCCGTACCTTTACTCTGGGGAGGATTCTGACTCCGGTCCCGGAGGACGTTGATCTGGTAGACAGCTCCATAAGGCTCAAAAAGTTCTTTCAGCTCCTTTTCTGACCACGACCGGGGGATCTGTCCGACAAACATCTTAATGGCATCTGGGTCTGGCTGGTCTGAGTGATCCAAAGCTCCGTTCATCTTGTTGGCTGTGCCGTTACTGTCAAAAACGGAACCAGGAGCCAGAGTTAGGGCTGCAGGGTGAGGGATGGGAAGAAAAAAAGAGTGGGGGTGGGGGGGAGGCGGCGGAAGGAAGAGGAAGAGGAGCACAGGGGAAAGTGCCCAACGAGTCGTAGAAATTGGATGAACTAAAACAAAGCAGAGGCACCATTAGGTCGCTCTTCGGCGGCAGTAAGGAGGCTTTCACTGCATGCTATTCAGCACTGCCTCCTGAGCACAGGGCAGTGCTGGGCTGCCTGTCACCCAGGGCGTGGACATCTCAGAACCAGGCTTGGGAGGCAGCTGCGAGTTAAGTGCAGGTCTTAATCTGCCAGGCTGCCATCAACACGGCAGAGCAGAGGCAGCATTATCAGCTCTGCGTTCGCTGTCACTGGGAAAGAAAGGCAGGGTTGGGTGTCTGCTGGATCTCTTTCCCTTTTCCCCCACTCCCCACCCTTTTTTGGAGATTTTTGGAAGAGAGGAGAGAGGTGGTAATAATAAAGTCACATGGGAAGAAAATGAAAACACTTGGCAGTTGTCAGATGACTAATGCAAGATGCTGGTGATGAATTTGCAGAGTGCGCGAGGCATCCATGTGTGCATCAAATTAGTACGTTGTTGCTGCTCAGAATGGAAAGCGCTCCAGCCACGCAGCTCAGTGCTGCTGATTGGCTGCCCACACTGGAGAAAAGGGCTGGAGCTGGGAGGGGGCTCCCTTTAAAAAGCACATTGTTTAAGGGACCTGGGCACAAAGGGCTTAATTCACAGAGGCAAAAGCATCTCAGAATCGCCTTTGTGCTGAAAAAGAAAAAAAAAAAAGCAGCCCCAGAAAGTTGAGTTCCCACTAAAGGACACTGAATATTTCAAATCTTTCACACTCCATAAATTGCTCTCTGTATATCTGACTTCCAGATGTAGCACTTAAGTTCTAAACAATCACACGTTGGGGGGGGGGAGGGGGGAAGAGTCTGTCTTTTCTTCTCTGAGCTTCAGTAAATATTTGGGGCTGATACAAAGAACAAAACCATAAGCTTTTACACCTCTGTCTTCCTAATGTTGTTTCCCAAATTCCTGTTTGAAGGACAGTATTTGTTTGAGGCCTGCAGTTCTGGTCACCATCATGCAATATGAAGACATTCCTTCTTTCCTTGACCTCTCATTGGACTACAGTAAATTATCAAAGCAAAATCACATAGCTTTTTCTTCTCTGTCTCCCCACATATGGTACTGTATACCAGCTACTCTGCCAAGAAGAAGACTCAATGAACGCCTCTTAACAACACTCATTTGCAGTGCAGAGCTCTTGGTTCAGCTACTCAGCTCAAAATACAAGGTGTTGGAAGAGCTGAAAGTGGACAGACCCCTAGCAGCACCTACACAGCCCTGTAGGTGACCACCCAGCTCAGTGCAAAAGTTAAAAGGGGAAACAGTGACTACAACCCAACTGTAAATGGCAGATGTGATTCTTCTGAAGCCTCAGGGAAATATTCAACAAATAATCCAAAAAGAACACTTTAAATCTTTGGCGGTCTAGCCTTATCTTGTATACTTTGGAAGAAAGAAAAGAACACGAATGCCCCTAAGCCCAGGGAAAAGAGAAATCTCAAATTAGATTTAATCTAAAGAGGAAAATGATGGCAAATATTCTTTGCTAGGTCTGGCCTCCGATTTCTACTTCTTATCCCCTTATTTTACCACTTTGTTTTATCCTTGTGATAAACAATCAGACTGTCTCACTTGAAGCATTTTTGGAGCTTTCTCTAATCAGCCTTATTGTTATAAAAATGTTCTGCTGAATAAAATATTGAGCACAGAATCTTCTTTCATCAATTTAGGTATAATGTAATGGTTGTTTATATTAGAGCTGTTCTTATGCACCTATACTTCTTGTCCACTAGCTCTGAGAATTCAATGAGCACTTTAACCCTGTGAAGCTGTGCCTCGGAGGCAGGGGGTGGTGGCAGAGGCCAATGCAGCACAGAAGCAGTGTTCACAGCACAATGAGAACCGAGAGTGTGGCAAGACTTATTTCTGGGACAGGAAGGACTTGTGGTTATTGCTGTTGACAACTAGCTAGAGTGCAAGGAGGAAGGTACTGCCACAGGTCTTAGCTAACAGAGAAGAAGCTCAAAAAGAAAAAAAAAGAAAAGAGTTGCATCTTGTCTGTACAGACCATGATTAATATTAGACGAGGTAGGCCATGGCACACTGTCCTAATATCTAAACTTAGAATTCTAGAGCAAACATTCCTCAGTGTTTCTTTTTGAGAAAGGCCTATGTCTTTCTCAAAAAACATAAACCACTGAGTGATATAAAAGGACAAGAGCTGAGAAGGTTGAAGGTTTGTATCCTAGATCTTAAGTTCACTATTACCATCCCCCTCAGTCAGCTGACTGTCCTGTAATAATAATACATTTTAGATACTAGATACTGTGTTCCATGCTTTACATTTTAAAACTCTCATAGCAATTTTATGACAAAGTAATTTTTCAGATGTCAACGTCTAAGAAATAATATCCTTTCCTAAGGTTACAAGCTTATAAATTATAGAACTAGAATGCAAACCCAGGTACACTGAGTTGCAAAGTATTTCTAATCCACTATGTGGCCTTCTATTCAGTCTGATTTGTGTTGACAGTGAACATCTCATAGAAAATGAATAAGAAGACAAAATCAAGAGCAAGTCTTACTGGATCCCAAGAATCACACTGCAAACACACTGCAAGCACTAAAAGAAGTACTTTCTTCCTTCCATTTGTGGGAAAAAATGGTGCAAAGCACTGGATTTGGGTCCTTTAAGGCTACTTTAAAATCTCTGTCTTCTCAATTATCACCTAAGGGTGTTTCAGTCCCCATTTACCTTTTTTTAAAAAATTTTATTGTAAAGGTGATATACAGGAGTTAGTTACATAAGTCAGGTAGTAAGTACATTTTTTTTTTTTTGGACAGTGTTACTCCCTCCCTCATTTTCTCCTAGTTTTTGCCTTCCCTTCTTTATTTCTGCAAGATCACACTGTGGAGTATCTCTCATGCATAGTAACTTGTATTTTTGCAAATAACCTCTCAATTATATGCATAAAGTGCTAAGGTCACTACAATCCTATCCTTAAGTAACTCCAATCATGTCTTCTCGTTGGATCAGTTAAAAATGCCATCACCACACCTTCCATCCCAGTGAGAAGCTTTTATTTGGAACAGGTGGTATATCTCACTGACTACTCCCCATTGTTAACCTCATACCAAGAGAATCCTATGTCTTCTTACACACTGGTTAATTTCCCTGTAATCCATCAAAGCTTCCAAACCATAGCTTGTTTCTAGATACTCAATGATTCCTTCTGCACTTTTGATGTGGGTGCAGACACTTCTAAACAAGCCAGAAATTATATCTTTGAAGTTAAACCTTTGGGGCTTACGTATAAGAGGCTATATAAAGCCAATGTGTTCCTCACAGACAACAACTAAGGGCACAATTTCTCAAACCTCTGAAAGATCCTCAGAGTAAAACTTTTGATTTACTTATTTATTTTGGCAATACCTTGAATTGAACTCGGGGCCTTTACCCAGCTGGCACTTTAGTATTTGAGCCATATCTCCATACCTGCTTTTTGCTGGTTGTTTAGAGATGGGATCTCATGGACTTTTCTGCCTGCTTGAGATGGACCTTGATCCTCTAGATCTCAACCTCCTGAGTAGCTAGGATTACAAGCATGAGCCATAGTGCCTGGCTCAGTAAGATCTTTAACTTAAGAATCTGATTGGCTTAGGCAGTTAGACTAGCCTGTTTCTCCTTAGTCATCATTAGCACATTAGCACACAGTACGTTCTAAAATGCAGACACTTAAGTTTCAAATTCAAATAATAATAACTGAAGGCCTACTACTCTGTCAGGAATCTTTGTCAAGTACTTGACATACAATATCATAGTTTCAGTTAGAATCATCTTCATTTTGGAGTTGAAGCAACTGATTGTCATAGAGGTAATGTGCCTTTTCCAATGTCATACCTTAAGGAAAAGGACTATGGAATGTGGATTTATCCAAAGTCATCTCCTCCTATCTTCTCCAGTGCAGTGATCCTGAGTGCCAATTCAGCTTTGGCTCTTGTCAAGGGAGTCACTGGAAAGCTCCTTTGGGACAGATGCCATATGGAATGAGACCATAAGTCGGAGAGTATGAAGCCAGTGAATATTGTTACTATCAGTCTCTAAGCCAAGATGAAAGCATAATGATGTTGGGGGCAAAAAAAATCAGAATGCTTACTTCTTGCTTGTAGCACAGCACTGACCTACTTCCCTACTTTATTTTCTAGTAAAATGAACTAGATAAAAAATGGATTTGCAAATTTTTCTGAGGTGCCTCTAAAGAAGTTAAATACCATTAAAATATAACAACTAACTCAATACACTATTAATTCCAGGGCAATAAGCTTTTTATAAGGGCAATTGATTTGTGGGTTTCCTTTTGGAGAAAAGAAATGAGAAATAAGATTTCTAATCTTCCAGTTTGTAAAAAGAAGATCAATAATTTTACAAAATGGCTATAAGAAATGTCACATGGCCATAAATAGCTGTATTAATGTTTCCCAAAATGACATAAAATGTCATCTTCAGCACGTATGCTTAACCAAAAACTATACAAAAAGATGACTGTCTTAGAAAAGTGTTGTCTGAAGATAGCTAATCCCTTGGTACTTATCTATAATTTTATTATTCCAATATTTTTATTGTTGTTCTTTGGAGTGGCTTACATGCTACAAAACTGTGTGCCATGATAGAAAGGACCCAAAGCTGAACAATCCACTGTGGCATTGCAGTGACTAGCTTTCATGTAGCTATCAAGTACTTCAAATGTGGCTTATCAGTGGAAGACTTTAATTTTTATTTTATTTAAATGGGTCCAGACACAAATGTATTTCTCCCTTAAAAAAACTGATTGGAGTTGAAATTCATCTATATGTATCAGTCTGTGGAGGTGCTTTGTAAAAGTAGTAATGTAAAGCCAGAAAAATGATATTATTAGTAGAGTTGCTCAACTGCAGGTTGATGGATAGGAGGCTTGCTAGCCTGGGTTCTGGTCCTGATTTACCATTCATTGACCTGTGTGACCTCAAGCAAATCACATAAATACCCTGTAACTCAGTTTCCTCTCTTGTAAGAAGAAATAAAAAGAAGCTTCAATCTGATTCTTAATTTCTATAATTCTGTGGATTTGGCTTACATGCAGAGCCTGACTTATGGAAAAGATGATTTAAATAATATGATTAGCTACCTGAAACCTTGGTATTATTTTTGCCTTGCATGTCCAATTCATTCTTTTCCAAGCTCACGGACAACTATGCAGAGGTCAGAGAGTAGACAAGGTGTCATGTAATACAGGTGTGGGAAGAATCACAGGCTCAGACAGCGCTGTGAGTGGCCAGCTGTTAGGGGTGCTGCTAGAGAACTATCCATCTCAATTTGAGTCAGGGCTCTTTCTAACAACCTTAGCTGATGTTCCCTCATTTCAGTCAGCTGAC